GAACTGCTGTATGAAAAGTGAACTTACTCTGTAAATCTTCACCCAAATCCTAATTAAAAAAAAAAAAAAAGTATATTTAATAAATTAATTAGCAAATAGCTGTTTCTTCAGAAATACATGCAAATATATTGTAGGTTAAAAATGTGAAAAAAGGTAAAAATGCTTGCCCCACATTTTAGAACTATAAGCATTCCATTTGCCGATTTGTCATTTCTTTAAAAAGAGTGGGCTGGGGCGATGAATGCACCTTTTAGGGTAGTGGTTATTTGGTTACATAGTGCCTAAAGCATATGACTGCTAACCAGAAGGCTGGCTGTTCAAACTCACCAGCCACTCCTCAGAAGAAAGATGGGGCAATCTACTTCCATAGTGATACTGCCTCAGAAACCCAAGGAGGGGTCACTATGAGTCCCATCCGACTCCACAGCGTGAGTTTGGTTTTTTGGTTTGGTACAACTGTCTAAGTTGATGAAACTAATAATTTAGCACCTGTGCATTTTCTTTTAGATAAATTATAATTTTTATATTCATTATTATTCCAAATGGGCAGTGGTAGTTAATACTGGAGCGGAGTTTGGATTAGAAAAGGCTTCATCAGAAAAAATACGTCGCATAAATATTCGGCACAAAACTCCTCCACACGCCACCCTAGTTTGCTGAGTAACCAGACAGCTTGGAGAGAGGGAGGCAGCTCCCTGGAAGTGTTCCCCCAGTGTAGTTGATACAAGCCAGATAGTAACTAGGTTCCAGACGAAGTCCAGCTGGGTTCACAGAGCTCTGATTTGGGCAAGTCTCCAAGCCTTCGGGGTTTTTTTTGTTTGTTTGTTTGTTTTTGGTTAAAAATGGAGATTGATAGTGCCTACGTCTTAACGTTGTGGCAAGGATTAAAGGTGATAATATTTGTAAAAAGCCACTTACTAAACATTTGTTGTTGTTGTTATGTGCCGTCCAGTCGGACCGGACTCATAGCGAACCCTCCTTGGGTTTCTGAGGCAGTATCACTACGGAAGTAGATTTCCCCATCTTCCTTCCGAGGAGTGGCTGGTGGGTTTGAACGGGCCAGCCTTCTGGTTAGCAGTCAAGTGCCTTAGCCACTACGCTACCAGAGCTGCCTACTAAACGTTATTGCTATTATTTTGAAAGATAAATAAGCAACTTCCCCCCCTCTTTCCTCCTCCCCCTAGCTACCTAAAAGCCTGGCTAGCAATCCTTGGAATTTAATCCTCAATAACTAAGCCCAAACATGCCTGCCTCTGCCGTACTACACAATTTCCAGATGAAAATGTCTCCTATCCAGCTGGGCGACAGCGCCTGCCTGGGTAAACTTCAGGAAAGAGCTCCTCAAGCTAACCAGAAAGATGGTGGTTCAAACCCACCAGCCACTCCTCCAAAGGAAGATGGGACAATCTACTTCCCTGGAGATACCGCCTCGCAAACCGAAGGAGGAGTCGCTATGAGCCGTATCCAACTCCAAAGCAGTGAGTTTGGCTTGGTTTCTGGACAAACTTCTGTAAAGAAACCAGACTCTATAAGACAAGGCAGCGCGCCCCCAAGCCAAATCCCGCCTCGCCTGAAGCCACGTCACGCCACGCGCCGGCGAAATGCCTCCAGCAGCGGCGCGCACGGAAGCACGTGACAACTGGTCTCACACTCCGTTCACCAACCTTACAGCTGCCAATTGCCTCCCATAGCCGCTAGGGCGGCGTCACGTGACAGCTGGCCCCATCCCACCTCCACTCCCCTTGGCTTGCGAGTTCCGTTCTTATATTGTGGGGTTTTCATCCGGCCGGCAGGCGTCTTGAGCGGAGATGGCTGCCACTCTGCAGCGCATCGAACGGCTGTCCAGTCGGGTGGTGCGTGTGCTGGGCTGTAACCCAGGTCCCATGACCCTGCAGGGCACCAACACCTACCTGGTGGGAACCGGCCCCAGGTAAAGTCTCACCCGCCCCCAACACTCACCTCTTGCGAGCTACGCGAGGCTGAGGTTGCAAAGATTGTGCTCGGAAAGCGAGGCCCTGTGCTCCGAAACTGGCAGCCCCATCTGAGGTCTTAAGTAGCCGGCGATTCTAGAGCTTTTCTAAATCAGGACTACCCTGGGTGGTAACCATTCCGACTTAAAATCGCTACCTATCTACCAATCCATTGCTGTGAGTTCGATACCAACTAAGAGCGAACCTGTAGGACGGAGTGGCACTGCCCCATAGGGTTTGGAAGGCTGTAAATCTATCTCCCTCAGAGCAGCTGGTGGGTTCGACCTGTAGGTTAGCGAAAGGTCACCAGCCTCGCGCTTAAGCACTGCGCAGCCAGAGCTCTTTCTACACATGGCTAATGGGATCATATTCATTATTATGAAAAAGGAAAAATAAACCTCACTTCCTGCTTTTAAAACGCATTTACTTTCCTTTGTGTTTGAATGCCAGGGTGAGCATCCTTAAGCTGTTGAGAGGTCAGGATCCTCGGTAATTTTTTTAAGAGTCCAGGAAAGAGTTTGCTTTGCTCACATCCTGACTTAGGTGTTTTGCCTTCACAAAATCGGTTGTGCTAAGGCAATTTTCTTAACTCAGCAGCAGAGGGCAGGATTTTCTTCTAACTTGTTTGCGTTTATAAGTCAGAGAGGGTCGCTATAGCGCGTTCTAAGGAGGTGACCATGACTAATTTTTTGTTGTTATTGTTAATGTGACATTAAGGTATTTTGCAGGTGTAGTAGCCTACCTGTATTTCTTAGAAAATATTTTTTCTCTTGGCCAGCTGCATTCTGTTTTTTGTTTTAGTGGAATTACACAAAAATAGTTGGTTTACAGTACAGCGTATTTTAAGCATTAAGCAACTTTTGTATATGTACTCTTTAGTACAAAAAAGAAAATTCTTTCCCGACTCATAGTGATCCCTCCTTGGGTTTCTGAGGCGGTATCTTTAAGCAAGTAGATTGCCCAACCTTCCTTGGGTTTCTGAGGCGGTATCTTTAAGCAAGTAGATTGCCCAACCTTCCTTCCGAGGAGTGGCTGGTGGGTTTGAACCGCAAGCCTTCTGGTTAGCAGTCAAGTGCCTTAGGCACTACGCTACCAGTTGAGGTAGCCTAAGTTAATGTGCAGATGATACTACTCTACTGTATAAAGTTAAAGAGCCGAGAGGTTAGCAATAAGTATTAAGTGGGTCCAAGGCTAAGGTTTTGAGATAGATATCTACCTGTTTAATTTCACAGAACAGTTCTGACATGACAGAAGGCTTCCATATTATTAAACTCAGTGGCATTTTTTTCACTAAATTTATTTGAACTTCAGCATCGTTTCATGTTGTTGACTGCTCCCTTCTTGATTTGCTAACACCACTTCTCCTGGTTTCCCCTGCGTCTCTAGTTGCTCTTCCTCATTCTCCTTTATAGTCTTCCTCTTTACCAGATCTTTACTTGAGTCTTTCAAGATGCAGTCCTAGTTTGTGTTCTCATGCTGCATTCTCTACCTAGATGATACTGTCTCCTTCTTGGCTTCACCTATTATCTGTTCATTAATAATGCCCATATTTCAAACTTGAGCTTCAAGCTCAGGGAACCAACTGCTTATTTAAATCTTTATTTGGACGACTCACAACCACTTGACATTCAATATATTTGAACATGAACTCATGGGCTTACCCTTTAATCCTGGTCTTATCCGTATCTTGATAAATAGAGCATTCCACAGATTTGAGCAAGGTAAATGTCTGAGTACCCTCCCTGATACTTCTTAGCTTCCTATCCGAGCCATTATGAAGATCTCCATTTCCATTTCTATCACCCAGTCCAAACTTGTTTAGGCTTCGGTAGTAGCCTCATAAGGAGCTTTGGTGGTACGGTGCCTAAGGCATTTGGCTGCTAACCAGAAAGTCGGTGCTTCAAACCCACCAGCTGCTCCGCAGTAGAAAGATGGGGCAGTCTACTTCTTTAGAGATTTACCACCTTGGAAACCCAGTGGAGTTGCTGTGAGTTGGACTTGACTCGATGACAGTGGGTTTGGTTTTGGTTTTAGTAGTCTCATTATTGGCTTCTCTGCATCCTTGTTTGTAGTTTACAGAGCAAATTCCCTTTCCATACAGCAGTTCACATACACTTTGTCTCATGACATTGGCTACAATTTACCCCAATGCAACAGCTCCCCTCTCACTTCTTCCCGATAGTTACCTCTTCCTTATGTCCATCCCTCCATGCACTCCTGCCCCCTGAGCTGTCTCCCTGTGCATAAACAGCCCTTCTTTCTCCCATGATTGTTCTCTCCAACGAGTATACCTACCTTAGGTAAATGTTCAACTCATATGCCTGTCTTTTGTTTGGCTGGAAGCCACAGGTGTATGTTTGTCCTTCTTAAATGCACTTCGCCCTGTGTAGCCTGAGTTGTTGTTGTTTTGCCATCAAGTCAGCCCCGACTCATAGCGACCCCTCCTTGGGTTTCCGAGGCAGTATCACTACGAAAGTAGGATTGCCCAACCTTCCTTCCGAGGAGTGGCTGGTGGGTTTGAACCGCCAGCCGTCTGGTTAGCAGGCAAGTGTCTTAGCCACTATGCTACCAGAGCTCCCGAGTAGTAGTTTAAAATTAAAATTGGAAGGCTTTATGTAGTCTGGCCTCCACCTGCCACATCAGCCTCATTTCAAGCATCTCCTCCTTTGCTTTCTGCACTTGAGCCATTCTGGCCATCTTCTCTAGTGCCAAAGGCCTGTCAGTCATGTTTTCACCGGTACGCAGGCAGCATCGGTATTCTAAAATATATTTTCTTTGCTACTAGATTTTAATAAACTTTTATATTAACCCTGTTAATTTTCAGTCATAACTTTTAATCAGCATGATATGATCTGTCTTTGATTAAAAATAAAGATACTATTATTTAAATTCAGCTTTATTTCAGCACAGATTTCCTTGGGAAGAGGGAGAGGAAAATTAAAAAAAGAAAAAAAATCGAAAAGTCTTAGTGTAAAGCAGGGAACGATTCCTTTCAAGGCCCAACCAAAAACCCAAACCCACTGCCATTGAGTCTGTTCCAACTCATAGCGACCCTGTAGAACAGGTTAGAACTGCCCCGCAGGGTTACCAAGGCTGTGAATCTTTACAGAAGCAGAATGCCTCATCTTTCACCCATGGAGTGGCTGGTGGGTTCAAACCGCTGTCTTTTTCATTAGAAGCTGAATGCCTTAACCACTGTGCTACTAGAGCTCCTCTCAAGGTCCAGGTTACCCTCAAAATAGCCCAAAAACCAAAACCACTGCTATCAACTTGATTTCAACTTACAGCCACCCCCACTGGGTTTTTCCAAGCTGTAAATCTTTATGGAAGTAGATTGCCTCATCTTCTTCCCACAGAGCAGCTGGTGAGTTTGAACTGCCGACCTTCTGGTTAGCAGCCAGATGCCTTACACACTGTGTCACCAGAATTCCTCTAAGTGACACTTAATTAAAAGGCAACAAGAAGTTGTAGTTAATAAGCACCAAATTTCCCAAAATAAATGGAAGCAACTAAAATCTAGGATAGTGGATTTGTTGGCAATGTCAAAGTGGTATAGTTCTGTATATTTTTAATTCAGAGAATGACTAAATATGCATAGTGCCAAGCATGGCATGATGTATTATAAATATGGAGATTACTGTGTAAATTCCTTGACCATACAGGCCATGTCTTGCTCAACTTTGCATCTGACAAGTTACGTAGCACAGTATCTTATACATGATAAGTATTCATTAGTATTTGAATTGAATTCATTCACAGATATTTATGGAGTGCCTATTAAATACCAGGACTAATCTAGATACTTCTTGTTGTTGTTGTTGTTGTTATGTGCCGTCGAGTCGGCCCCAACTCATAGCGACCCCTCCTTGGGTTTCCAAGGCAGTATCACTACGGAAGTAGGATTGCCCAACCTTCCTTCCGAGGAGTGGCTGGTGGGTTTGAACCGCCAGCCTTCTGATTAGCAGTCAAGTGCTTTAGCCACTATGCTACCAGAGCTCCTATATCTAGATACTAGGGATGCATAAACAAACAGAATTAATTGTTAATTCACAGTATGCCCTTGATTTTAGCCTCCGCTTTTCTATCTCCTTCATTCTCTACCATAATCAGGTTCTTAACCTGGAGTCTGTGGTCACCTCCCCACTCCCTGAAACTCCATGGATATAATTCAGGGAATTAGTAGCCTTAGATGAGGAAGAAAAATACATCTTTATTAACCTAAAAATGAAAGTTAGTATTTTGTTTAATTATGAAGATAAATAACAAACCATGGTAGTAATAGCAGTACTTGTGTGGTTTTTTTTTTTTCTCTATAGCAATTAGAGTCATGACAGATACCTCAAAATAGTGTGTACATTCATTACTACTTAGAAATTATGGTAATTATAAGACTTGGAGCTAATCTTGTTATTTAGTATGATAATAAGGAGGCACATGAAATAGTGTATCACAAAATGTTTATTTTGATAACTGTGTTTTAGTATAATTGATTTACTTTGTAATCCTGTATGTTTTACTTTATGAACTTCAACACATTATTCTAAGAGGAGTCCATAGGCTTCAACACACCAACAAAAGGGCCCATGATGTAAAGAAGCTTAGGAACATGTTATCTACAGTTGTTCATCAAACCTGTTGAAATATTCTTCAGATCCAAAGAACATGGGCACTAGAGTGAGATAAATCTGGGTTCAAATATATGCTCTACTAGACTTTTTAACATTGGGCAGGTTATCTGTCAAGGCCTCCGTGTTCTCATCTGTAAAATGAAACTGAAATCTTCATATTGTTTTGAGACTTAAGTAAGGTAACAAAAAGAAAGCTCCTAACCTTTTTATTCATTCATCCAATACTTATTGAGTGTCTAGAACATGCCACTGTCTAGGCTCTGAAGATACCAGTGAACCAAACTGATAAAGTTCCTACCCTCATGGGGCTTAAATTTGCAGGAAGGTGGGGAAGTGGGGCAGAGATAGGAAATAAACAAATATGTGAATCTGTAATGTATCATGTGATAATAAGTGCTGTAGAGAAAAAGCAAGGAAAGAGGGCTAGGAATGTTGTCAAAATTCACCCTAACCCAAACCAAATTCATCTCAAATCTCCCTCCAGTGTTTACAATTGTAATTAAATGACACACCACTCATCTCACCTACAAACCTCTTAGTCATCATCAACTCTTTCCCTTCCCTTCTACAAACAATTAGTTTAAAAATTGGTTAAAAAATACTGTTGATGATACCTTCTAAATGTTCTTTAAACCATCGTCTCCTTATACTTTTACTGCCAACAGAACCTCATAATGCCCACCCCTTGGACTGGGATAGCCATCTGGTCTCCAGAACAGACAGTTTAGTAATGTGTACTTCTGAGGCATGTCAGATGCTCTACTGGACTTAGGCTGTAGCTAGAGGCCAGTGAACCATAAAGCCTCTGCCTCCTCCTCCCCTGTGAGAGGATGGTTTGTTTTTATTGTTTTGGGGTCTCAGGGAATAGGGTTAGGAAAAAAACCACCCAAAATAAAATAATCATCTGGTTACTTGTCATTGTTGTTGTTGTTGTCATATTTGCTCCATTTTAATGCTCTGCAAAATGCTTTCTATTATCTTTACTTCTGTTTCTTTTTGATCACCCTAGGAGCTTTGGTGGCATAGTACCTAAGGCATTTGACTGCTAACCAGAAGGCTGGCAGTTCAAACCCACCAGCCACTCCTCAGAAGGAAGGTTTGGCAATCCACTTCTGTAGTGATACTGCCTCAGAAAGCGAAGGAGGGGTCACTGTGAGTCGGATCTGACTCGACGGCAGTGAGAGTTAGTTTGAGTTCCCTACTCATTCTTGGAAGGAAGGTTGGGCAATCCTACTTCCATAGTGATACTGCCTCAGAAACCCAAGGAGGGTTCGCTATGAGTCGGGGCCGACTCGACGGCAAACAATAACAACAACACTCATTCTTACCTTCCACAAGAATGTAAGCAGGGTTTTTGTTGTTGTTGTTTTGCTTACAAGACAGTAAGAAATGAGGCAAGAAATAAAGGTGTGATGATACACAGCACGCAATCTGTAAACGGTTACTGATGGGTGAATGAATTCATTCAGACTTTCCATCAAGTCTAATTTGCTCTCAGCCAGCCTGAATTAGTAAGGTGTGACTGTGAAACAGCATGAATTAAGATGTTTGTGAATTGATTCTTGAACAGAAAATGTCACCCTGATTTCTTTAGTTCAGGAAATCTTCATCAAAAACAGCTGTCCCATAAATAGTCACTTATCGACTATCTCATTATCCAACATTACACACTTACAACAATAGTAAAAAAAAAATCTACTTGACTATTTTGCACATTAATGACGTACATCTGGTAGTAATGAATGTTAAGGTGGAGGCAAGAGTTAGTGCTGGCTGTAATGGTTACAGCTAAGTGTTATTTTGACTGAGCCATGATTCTCAGTGTTTTGGCCTTTAAGTAGTAATGTAATTTGGCAGCTATGTAATGATACAATTTAGCAATTATGTAATGATGTAGTCATCATCCATTTTATGATTTGATGTAGACATCTTCTATTTCACATAACACTGATTTTTACCTGATGACCAGGTCTTTGTATCCTAACCATGTCACTAAGTAAGGAGTAGGTGTGTAAGGAAAATTCAGAGCCATAAGCATAAAAATACACCTAATAGAGTTGTCTAAGTAAAGAAATAAAGAAGCCAAACTCCATGCTTCCTGTCACCTTCATTTTCCTGTGTGAGAGGGCCTATGTAAAAGTTCAATGATACATTACGAATCTAGCACTGAAGAGTAGTTTCCATAGGGATACTATCAAGTAAAACTTTCCATATCTATGAGACATTTGAGGGCTTTGTGAACGATCTAGAAGGCAGAGTGGATAAAAGGCAGAGTGGCACTCTAGATGCATACTACCTGTGTTTGAATGTTAGTGCTGCCATTTATTTGATGAGTAACCATGAACAAGTTACTTAACATCTGGCTATAATAATGAAGCACCTGCCTCAAAGGTTGTTATCAGGAAGATGTTTGTTAAAATAAGTAATGTCTTTGGAACGGTGCCATGCTTATTGTAAGTACTAAATAAATGATATTAGTTATTATTCCTTGTTCATTCTTAAGTTTATTGGTTTTTCTTCAAAAATTTTCTTAAGGTAAAATTACTATAGTTAAACTAAAATAATGTGGCTTGTTTTCAAGATGCTAAAAATAAAACAATAATATAATTTCTTTTAAAAATCACCTATATAAGACCAGTCAACAATTACTTTAAAACAAAGATGAGAATGTAAGGGAGTGGGGAAACTAGATTAATGAAAATGGAATAACCAGAATGGAAACAGCAGTAATGTATGCATTGTGAAGAATACCCAATGTCACTGAACAACTTGCTTAGAAATTGTTTAACAGGAACTTGCTGTGTAAACCTTCACTGAAGACATAATAAAATACTATTTTTAAAAAAATTATGTAGTTTCTTAAATTTAATATAAAATATCTGTGTGAGTAATATGCTGGTATTAACTCTATATTCCAACTGTGTGATTATCTTCCATTTAATTTTCAGGAGAATCCTCATTGACACTGGAGAACCAGCAATCCCAGAATATATCAGCTGCTTAAAGCAAGCTCTAACTGAATTTAACACAGCAATCCAGGAAATCATAGTGACTCACTGGCACCATGATCATACTGGAGGCATAAGAGATATTTGTAAAAGCATTAGTAATGGTAAGCAAAAAACATGTAGTAAGCTCATTAAGGAAAGCTATGGTTTTGGAATAATTTATTTTAGTTATATTGCTAAGTAAGCAAGTAAACCATTTACCAAATACCTTAAATTTGTTGTTGTTAGTTGCTATTGTGCCATGTCAGCTCTCTGTATATAGAATAGAACTGCTCCATAAGATTGTCAAGGCTATGACTTTTCTGAAGCGGATCGCCAGGCCTCTTTTCTGAGAAGCCACTGGGTAGGTTTGAACTGCCAACCTTATGGCTAATAGTTGAGTGCCATTTGTGCCACCCAGGGAGTCTACCTTATATTTAAATAGTGCTTTTAGATTGTGATATGGCTATTAAATGCTATTCCCAGTTTTATCATAGGAGGAAAGCAAAATACCCGTTTTCTGTTTTAAGTCCTCCTCTCTCTGTTCTCCTTTATTCAATGATGAAGGCCAATTTTAGTTTAGTCTATATGATAATTACTACTTAAGTGCCGGGCACTGGGCTGTTTGCTTTACATGGGTTATTTTGAGGTTATTGTTGTTGTTAGGTGCCATGGAGTTGGTTCCAACTCACAACAACCCTGTGTACAACAGAATGAAACACTGCCCAGTCCTCACAGTCATTGCCATGGTTTAGTGTATCATTGCAGTCACTGTGTCAATCCATGTCATTGAGAGTCTAGATGGATTGACACTGTGGCTGCAGTGATGGGCTCAGGTATGACAAGGATCATGAGGCTGGCTCAGGACTGGGCAGTGTTTCTTTCTGCTGTGTATAGGGTTGCTATGAGTTGGAGATGACGGGACAGCACCTAACAACAACAACTACTTTACCAAGTAGATATCCTTCTGCAGGGAATGGTCCCTTCTTTCAACATGACCAAAGTACGAGAGGTGAAGTCTCATCATTCTCGCTTCTGAGGAGCATTCCAATTGTGCTTCATCCAAGACAGATTTGTTTGTTGTTCTGGCAGTCATGATATACTCAATATTCTTCTCTTACACTATACTTCAAATACATCAATTCTTCTTCAATCTTCCTTATTCATTGTCTAGCTTTCATATGCATATGCTGTGATTAAAAATACCATGGCTTGGGTCAGGCACACCTTAGTCTTCAAAGTGACATATTTGCTCTTTAACACTTTAAAGAATTCTTTTGCAGCAGATTTGCCCAGTGCAATATGTCATTTGATTTCTGGACTGCTGCTTCCATAGGTGTTGATTTTGTATCCCAGTAGAATGAAATCCTTGACAGCTTCAATCTTTTCCCTTTCAGCATGATGTTACTTATTTGGCCAGTTGTAAGGAATTTTGTTGTCTTAATGTTGAGGTGTAATTCATACTCAAGGCTGTATTCTTTGATCTTCATCAGGAAGCACTTCAAGTCCTCTTCACTTGGAACAAGCAAGTTTTTGTCATCTGCCTAGCGCAAGTTGTTAATGAGTCTTCCTTCAGTCCTGATGATTCATTCTTCTTCATGTAGTCCAGCTTCTGAGATTATTTGCTCAGCATACATATTGAATAAGTATTATGAAAGGATATAAACCTGGCACACACCTTTCCTGATTTTAAACCATTCAATATCCCGTTGTTCTGTTTGAATGACTGCCTCTTGGTCTGTGTACAGATCCCTCATGAACACAATGAAGTATTCTGGAATTCCTGTTCTTCACAATGTTATCCATAATTTGTTATGATCCACACAGTCAAATGTCTTTGCATAGTCAATAAAACACAGGTAAACATCTTTCTAGGAGCTCTGGTAGCATAGTGGCTAAAGCACTTGACTGCTAACCAGAAGGCTGGCAGTTCAAACCCTCCAGCCACTCCTCGGAAGGAAGGTTGGGCAATCCTACTTCCGTAGTGATACTGCCTCGGAAACCCAAGGAGGGGTTGCTATGAGTCGGGGCCGACTCGATGGCACATAACAACAACAACAACAAACATCTTTCTGGTATTCTTTGCTTTCAGCCAGGATTCATCTGACAGGAGCAGTGATAACCCTCATTCTATATCCTCTACTAAATCTGGCTTGAATTTCTGGCAGTTCCCAGTCAGTATACTGCCACAACCATTTTTAAGTTATTTTCAGCAAAATTTCATTCTATTAGGGAAGATAAATAGTAAATAAATAATCTGTTAAATGGCAATAGGTGCTTTGAAGAAATACAAAGCTAAATGAAGAGAAAGGAGAAAGAAAATAAAGAGGAGGGACAAACCAAAAAACCCACTGCCTTCAAGTCATTTCTGGCTCATAATGACCCTGTAGAACAGGGTAGAATTGTCCCATACAGTTACCAAGGCTGTAAATCTTTATGGAAGCAGACTGCCTCATCTTTCTCCCATGGAATAGCTGGTGGGTTTGAACTGCTGGCCTTTTGGTTAATAGCCAAATCCTTTGCAGTGGCTGATTTATCTAGGGTAGACAGGAACAGAGGTTGAGCTATTTAGGTACCTGGGAGAAGGGGATTGCAGGAGCAAAGATGCTAGAGTGGGAACATGCTGGCATTTTTAAGGCAGTCAAGAGGTCAGGAAAAGGATGCATATATACATCTAAGTAATATTTTAAGTATTTTTAAGTATCTCCTTTTTAGACTTTAAGACTAGAATTAGAATACCAAGATAGTTTTAACTGCTGAACCTACTATCTCCAGGTTGCCAATTACAGAAAATGGTCTAAACCAACCTTGTCACCCTCCTACTTCCTTTTTTCCAACTCAAGGGAACTGTGTGCCACAAGGATTCATTCTGTCTCACTGTGAGTTTTCCTCACCTTCCTTTCTCTTGTCTATCTATCCGTTAAAATTTTTTTATTGTAGTAAAATTCACCTAACATAAAATTCCCCATTTTTAAAAAATGTACAGTTCATTGACATTTAGTGCATTCACAGTGTTCTGTGATTATCACGTCTATCTAATTCTAAGACATTTTCATCCACCCAAGAGAAACCCCATACTCAGTAAGCAGTGACCCTCCACATCCTTCTTCCCCCTCTATCCTGGCAACCACTAATCTACTTTCTGTCTCTGGATCTGCATTTTCTGGACATTTGTATAAATGGAATCACACCAATGTCTGGTGTTTTGTGTCTGGATTCTTTCACTTAGCATAATGTTTCCATATTGTAGCATACTTCATTCCCTTTTATGGCTGAGTATTAACCCATTCTATCAGGGTATTTATTCATTCATCAATTGATGGACATTTGGGTTGCTTCCAACTGTCCCCAGTAAGCTTTGTGAATTAAAAACTATTTTATTGTCACCTTAGTCAACTCCTTTTTAGTATGAGGATCAATATAAAAAATTAAAATATTTCTAGCCTACATTTTTTGCCTTTATCAGTCAAGTTTATTGAGCTTTAATTCTTACACATAAAATGCACCCACTTTAATTGTATGCTTACTGAATTTGAACAAATGTCCATGTAACCACTTGAATCACAATGTAGAACATTCTTACATGCCAAAAAGAGTCCCCTGTTGCCTCTGGATAGTGATTTTTCCATCACTAACTACTTGTCTGTTTTCTTTCACCATGTGTTAGTTTTGCCTGTCCTAGAATTTCATATAATGGAAACATACAGAATCACTCTTATGTGTGGCTTTTTTTGCCCAACATCATGATTTTGAAATTCACCCCTATTGCATGTCTTTTTATTCCTCTATACAATTTGATTATCCATTCACCTATTAGTGGACATTTGACTTATTTTCTTTAAATTAAAAATTAAAATAGTTTTGGAATCCATCCCAAAAAACCAAAACCAAACCCTCTGTCATCAAGTTGATTCTGACTCAGTGACCCCCATAGGGTTTCTGACACAGTAAATCTTTATGGAAATAGATTGCCCTATCTTCCTTCCATGGAGTGCCTGGTGGATTTGAACCATGAACCTTCCGGTTAGCAGTCAGATGCCTTAGGCACCGCACCACTAGAGCTCCTTTTGGATTCTATAGAAAATAATGTTTTTATAAAGTCAGTTATCTGTTTAAAAGAAAATGAAGGAGAAAATTACCACTCCTTTATTTAAAAAAAAAAAAAAAAAACTCAACTGCCATCAGTAAGACTCATAGCAACCCCTCCTTGGATTTCCAAGGCAGTATCTCTACAGAAGTATATTGCCCAGTCTTCCTTCCCAGGAGTGGCTGGTAGGTTTGAACTGCCAGCCTTCTGGTTAACAGTCAAATGCCTTAGGCACTAAGCCACCAGAGCTCCTCTGCTTCTTTATAACCACTAAAATTTTAATACTTTAAGAAGTGGCTTTCTGTCTTCCATTCCAGACTTTATCATGAAGCTAGATAAGCTGCCTGTAGACCTTGAGTTGTTCATTGCATTGAAATTGTACAGAGAGGTACTTTTCAGAATCTCCCCCTCAAAATTCCACACACTTTTTTTATGCTCTAAATCTTTAATCAGTAACATTCTCATTGGTAAAGCATGTACATTGTTAACAACATTGAATTTTTGCAGGCCACACGAAAATAGACTATCTTCATATACTTATAAGTAGCAGGTTCAGGCAACCTGCTTACAAAATATTAAAACATAATCAGTGTATAATTTGGGAGTTCATAGTGGCTTACTAAGGCACTCTGGTGGCATAATGGGTAAGGCGTTTGGCTGCTAACCAGAAGAAGGTCACTGGTTCAAACCTACCAGCTGCTGTGTGGTAGGAAGATGAAGCAATCTACTTCTGTAAAGATTTGTTGTTGTTATGTGCCATCAAGTTGGATCCGACTCATAGCGACCCCTCCTTGGGTTTCCGAGGCAGTATCATTACGGAAGTAGATTGCCCAGCCTTCCTTCTGAGGAGTGGCTGGTGGGTTTGAACCGCCAGCCTTCTGGTTAGCAGTCAAATGCCTTAGGCACTATGCTACTAGAGCCTTGGAAACCCAATGGGGGTCTCTATGAGTTGGATCAACTCTATTGCAGTGGGTTTGGTTTGGTTTTAGTGGTTTACTGGAGCCAGAATTTTACTGGTCAAGAGAACTATATAATCTCAAGCTACTTGAGAATTTTTTTTTGTTTTGCTTTTGAGTAAGTTTTGTAAAATGTATTTTTTTTTATCTGATAAAACAAATTGTTTTGCTACCAAAGTCAGAACTTTGTCAAATATTTTATATCTTAGTCCCAGGAGTCAAATGTTTGCTTCTCTGCTATTCAATTAGAATATATTTTCATTAGAAATTATTGTACATAAATAATATCACATGCTTGTATCAGCTTAAATAATTAGTGTTAGCAGTAATGTTATAATCCATTATTCAAATCTTAACAAATGACTGAGGGTTTGCTTCTATTAAAATAATTATATGATAGAGACAGAAAGTAGATTCATGGTTGCCAGGGACTAGGGGAGGAAGGGAACAAAGAGTGACTCTACCAGTGAGTATGGTGTGATAAAAGTGTTCTAACATTATGTAGTGGTGATGGTTGTACAATTTTGTGAATGTACTAAAAAGCCACTGAGTTATATACTTTAAAGGGGTAAATTGTATGATATGTGTTATATATTTCTTATAGCTGTTATTTAAAAATTATTATCATAATTCTGACTCGTAGCAATCCTTTAAGACAGAGTACAACTGTCCCACAGGGTGTCCAAGGCAGTTAATCTTTACTGCCTCATCTCTCTCATGTGTTTATAATATAGCTATTGTTAGTACTTTTATATGATTGCTTTCAGCATTATTATTTGTCCTGCATGGAAATTGCTATTGTGAATAGGATATGTATGTTCATATTTGCCCATAATTTTTTAAATGGACACAAAGTTACAGTATGATATTTGTTTTGTAATTTTAAGATAATTGTGATTTTCTTAAAGGATTATTTACAGATTTTATGACTAGAAACATAACACCTCCACTTATTTACTGAAATTAAGAATTATCCAGATTAAAAACAAAAAATAAATCTGTAGTGAATGATTAAAATAATCATGTAGTAGCAGTTCTAGTAGAGCATAATGCGTTTTTCTCCAGCCTCTAAGATTGAAAAATAATGGATCTTAGAGTTGGAGAGGATAGGTGCTCTTTTCTGTTATTTGTTTTCTTTTGTATTTATTTCAATGTTTTAACTCCTTTATCCTTCATACTAGCCAGATTTCTATGCCTTGGTAATTTTTCTTTGGAAAAATTGAAAAATGGAAGACAGAAATTTTTCTTTGAAATACCTTTTTTTCTCCATCCGTATTTCCCATGCTACCACCATACACTGTTCATTATCTTCTGGCTGGTTGCAGTCATCTCTCTTGGTGGTGCGCTCATCCCCTCTAGTCTCCCTACCCCTGCTGCCATTTTGATCAGCCTATCAACACTATTTTATATCTTATGCAGTAGTGTGCAGTGGTCATTACACAGTAAAGTTTTAGTTCCTCTATTCTCTGAAGAGCACTTTAAGCCCCTATGTCATCTGAACTCACCTTACCTTTCCAGGTTTATCTCTACTCTTTTGAGCCAGAATTTTGTTCTACACAAGTTGGTAGTTAAACTGTCCGAATATACCATGCTCATTCTCATTTCTATATCTTTACTAATGCTGTTCCCCTTGCCTCTGGAGTCTTTTTCTGTGCCTTTTCATCCCACTTATCTTTTATGTGCCACCTCAAGTTCTATCATATTTATGAATTCTTTCCCAATTGTTTCTCCCTTTTCTGAACTCTCATTGCTTTGATTAGCTGAACTACTCACTTATTGTTGTTGCTGTTATTTGCCATTGAGTCATACCTGACTCATAGTGACCTTCCTTGGGTTTCTGAGGCAGTATCACTATGGAAGTAGATTGCCCAACCTTCTTTCCAAGGAGTGGCTGGTGGGTTTAAACTGCCAGCCCTCTGGTTAGCAGTCAGGTGCCTTAGGCACTACGCTACCAGAGCTCCTGAACTACTCACTTAGTACTTGTTAAATGGTAAAGCTTAACTCTTTATTTTCTGTTTTTAAGTTATTTCCTGACTATGACAGTTTTTCAGTACTTTTAATGTCACTGTACATGACTGAAGGAACCCTGGTGGCTCAAATAGCTAAGTACTTTGCTGCTAATTAAAAGGTTGGTGATTCTAACTCACCCAATGGCCCCAAAAGAGAAAGACCTAGCAGTCTGCTCCCATAAAGATTACATGCTAGAAAACCCTATGGGGAAGTTCAAAAATTGACTCAATGAGACGTAACAACATCATCATCACTTTACACTATTTATCTATCAACATTCTATACACTATACATAATATACTGGTTAGATCATTGTCACTCAGTTGCTGATTGGCAAACTAATTGATTTTCTTTGTGTCAGTAAGTGGCAGTGTGAATTAAACTTATTTTAAAGGTTTAATATTTTAGAAGTAGGTCTAGGGCTCCCTTTTGGACTCACAGTACAGGCCTTAAGCTAGCATCCTTTTACTATGAACCTCTGATGTGACTTATATTACTATTTTTCAGGCACCCAGATAGAGAAAATTTCTGAGGTCTGTCTTACTGTCTCTTCAACACCTGTCTTGATGTCAGAGCTATTTGAGATTATGGAAAAAACTACTTTTAAAAAATTTTGTATAAAATATGAGTGACTAGAAAAGCAAAAGAGCTTTCGTATAGCTCTACAGGGACGTGAAGGTCCTTGACTAGTGCTAATGGTTTACACTGGAGTACTAACCTAAAGGCTGGCGGTTTGAGCACAGCCAGTAGTACATAGAAGAAAAGGTCTGACAACCTGCTTTCATTAAGAGTATAGTGAGGAAAACCATACGGTGCCGTTCTATTCTGTAACACAGGGTCACCCTGAGTTGAAATCAAGTAGACTGCAGTTAACAACAACAAAAACAGAGGGGCATGAGAGAATAAAAAGCTCTTTTTATTGAAATGGAAGAAATAGTTACCATCCTAGAAATGTGCTACTGTAATTTGTCCCATTTTATATTCTCTCTTCATGTTTTTATAATACAGCATTTTTTGCAACCATTCATAAGTGTTAACTCTTTAAAATGGTGAATTATCATTCAAAGTGTGACTTAATATTTCACATATTTTGTGACTAGACACCCCATATTGCATTAAAAAACTTCCACGTAATCCTCACAAAGAAGAAGTTATAGGAGATGGAGAACAACAATATGCTTATCTGAAAGATGGAGATTTGATTGAGACTGAGGGAGCCACTCTAAGGTAAACATCCTTTAGCTGGAGAATGAGGGAGTATATGTGTATGTGTTATAAAAGGGAAAGAAAGATTCATGCATATTTGTTCATATATCTGAAGAATATCTCAGGAAGGATACAGAAGAAATCTGATAACATTGGTTACTATGGAGAAAGAAAATGGATAGCTTGAGAAAAAAGGAAAAAGATGTATTTTAATTTTTCCTTAAAGAGATTCTGATTAAGGTAAATTGAGTATGGGAATTGATCTGTTTTTTAAAATTTTGAACTCAGAAGAGTTGAAGACAAAGGGTCAAAAAGAAATGAGTATAGTACTGTTCATTGTAGTACTATTCACAGTAGCCAGAAGGTGGAAACAGCCTAACTGCCCATCAGCAGATGAATGGACAAACAAAATGTCATTTTACGTACATTTTACATACATACAGTGGAGTATTACTCAGCCGATAGGAGAAGCGAAGTCTTGATATATGCTATAATATGGATGGAGCTGGAAGACATTATGCTGAGTGAAATAAGGCAGTCACAAAAGGACAAATATTGTATAACTTCACTTATATAAAAAGATAAGAAAAGACAAATATATGAAGAACAAAGTTTATTAATGATTATGAGGGGGAGAGGAAAAGTAATAGAAAAATTGCTTTTTTTAAGGGTAAGGTTGCATGGCAATTATTGTAATTGTACACCTGTAAAAAGTTGAACTAGAAAAAGTTTTGTGATATACTTTCAGCAACCATCAAAAAAAAAAAAAGGAAGAGTAGCTCCTGAGGCTGCTTCTGAACAACCAAAAACCTCAGGATCCTTGATTTGGATATTTAGGGTCATGGTTTCATGGGACATTCTAGTTAATTGGTCTTATAATGTGTTTAGTGCTTCTCTTCTACCTTCTAGTTGATTGTGTAATGCCTAGGAGCTTAAAGCTTTCAAGCTGTCATGCAGGGCACAACAACAGCCTCTGTTCATCTGGAGCAATAGAAGAAGGAGGATTTGGAATGTATGGCTAATTGCCTCCATGAGCAACTGCCTCCTTTGCCAGGAAACCAGAAGAACTGGATGATGCCTGGCTACCGTTACTGAATGTTTTGATCAAAGATTTCGTTATAAGAATCCTGATCAAAAGGGGTAAAATGCTAGAACCTTGTTGTTGTTAGTGCAGTCGAGTCGTTTCTGACTCATAGCGACCCCATGCACAGCAGAACGAAACACCGCCCGATCCCACACCAGCTCCATTATCCTTGCTATACTTGAGCCCATCGTCACAGCCACCGTGTCAATCCATCTTGCTAAAAGCCTTCCCCTCCCTCGTCGACCCTCCACCTTACCAAGCATGACATCCTTCTCCAGGGAATGTTGCCTTCTGACAACATGACCCAAGTATATGTGAGACGAAGTCTGGCCATTCTCGCTTCCAAGGAGCATTTCAGCTGCACTTCCTCTGGGACAGATCTGTTGGTTCTTTTAGCAGTCCATGGTAATTTTAGCATTCTTCACCAGCACCACAACTCAAAAGCATCAACTCTTCTGTCTTTTCCCTGCTCTCCCACCTTGCTGCTTGTGTGGCGTGGCCTGGGTTCCCTCTCCTCACCTGGATCCCTGCAGCTGACTCCTCAATCTGTTCCAGTCCCCTTTGCCTTTTCTGTCCTTTCCCTGCTCTCCTGCCTTGCTGCCTGTGGGGTGTGGCCTGGGTTCCCTCTCCTAATCTGGATCCCTGCAGCTCACTCCTAGAGAACCTTATGCTGAGGGAAATTAGTCAATTATAAAAAGATAAATATTGTATCAGACCACCGTTATATAAAGTGAAGAAAAAGATTTTCACACAAAAAGAAATGTTCTTTGATGGTTGGGAACTCTGGTAGCATAGTGCCTAAGGCACTTGACTGCTAACCAGAAGGCTGGTGATTCAAACCCACCAGCCACTCCTCTGAAGGAAGGTTGGGCAATCTACTCCATAGTGATATCGCCTTGGAAACCCAAGGAGGAGTCGCTGTGAGTTGAGTCCAACTCGATGGCACATAACAACAATAACAGGTGGAAGGGAAAAGGAGTATAAAGCAAGTAGACATATATTAACTCGAGTAAAGAAGCAGGCAATATACAGTAATGGAGAAGTCAGCAAATAAAACAAAGATCAAAGCAAAGGAAGACACTGAAGAGTGTAAGAGTTAAAGGCAATAGAGGTAAAACTATTACCTAAATAATCCTGTAATAATAGTAATAACAGGTGGATTTATAGGTAAACACACAAGCTTTGGGAAGGAAAATGGGACTGAACGCACAAATATGTATGGGTTTGACAGAGGATTTCTACATATGTACTTACATATACTGCAAATATACCCATGAATATGGTAGAGCATACTGGGGACAAAGTATGAAGTCTTCTTAGCCATAATCAGAAATCTTTAGGGAGGAAGTGTGAAGTTACATTGAGGGAATTACAATCAATGACATGAAATACTATGTGTATGAGTTGTTGAGTGGAAAACTAAACTTTCACCCAAATCACAATAAAAGTTAAAGATTATTTCAAAAAAAAGAACAGAAGTAAAATGCAGAACAGAATTTTAAATTCTCATGATCTCCAGACTTCCTGGAGTCAAGGAAGCTAGATAAACCCCTGAAACTGTTATCCTGAGATAGTCTTTAAAATTTAGACTAAAAATACCCCCTGAAGTCTTCTTAAAACTAAACAGTAATTTAGTGTAACTAGTAAAAAAATATCTGCCTTCTCTTTTAAGAACTATCTATATGGGATCAAATTGACCACAGCAACTCCAAAGATGAGATAGGAACCTTAGGGGGCAATGAATTTGTGTGAGTGGGGAAGGAGCTCAGAAGAGGAGAGTGAGAATGTTTGCACAACCCAAAGAGTGTAATCAGTGTCACTGAATGGTACAGGTAGAAACTTGAATTGGTGTAGGTTTTGCTATGTATATTTTCAACAAAATAAAAAAAAGTTGGGAGGAAAACCAACACAAAGAATCAAGGGAAAGCAGGTATACTTTTAAAATACGGTTACTAGTAAGTAATCTCTGTCAAAACATAAATTCTAATTATGTTAAAACCAGAATAAAGCATTTAATTTACTGATGACCATGGTTTCCAGCTTCCGTTTTTATAAGATCAGTAAAAGTCAATTGTTTTAACATTAACAAGAAGACCCACTGTTAAGCAAAGTTTTATGAATTAAAAAAAATAAACCACTGTCATCAAGTCGATTCCAACTCATAGCGACCCAGAGTAGACCTGTACTGTAGGATTTCCAAGACTGTAAGTCTATACGAAAGCAAAATGCTTCATCTTTCACTTGTGGAGAGACCAGTACATTCAAACAGCTGAACTTGTGGTTAGCAGCCAAATGCTTTAACCTCTATGCCATCAGAGGTCTCTGGAGACTGCTAGTTAAAGACAATATATAATAGAGGCAGAGATAATACCCACCTAGAACGCTTGAAGTAAAAAGAAAGCCAGTAAGATTTTTCAGTAATAATTTGATTCCACATGTAACCTTCGGAAATTTTCTAGTGAAATAAGTTTAATTTCTTAAAGAAAAGTCAGTCTGACAGCTTGTGTTGACCAGACTTTTTTAGAAGAACTATCCCTACAAGGCTTATTCTATCACAGAAATGGCAGAACTAGATAAATTCTCCACCTGGTGAATGGGAAGGCCACGCTGCAGTTCCTCTGATAGTTAGTGAGCACTTCTGATGCCATTTTCTTTTCTTCTCTTACCTATGGTAAAGTGAATTTTAACATGATTTTAATGCAGATTAAAGCATTAACCATCCAGGTGATTGGAAAATTGGAATTTCTTATCCCCTGATGTAAGAAATCCTGTTTCCTTCAGTCTGGATGATACAGAAGAAAACCATTACTGAATTCTGGGTAGGGTATGGGAGGTGTGGGTAAGAAATAATAATAAAGGCTTTGCGAGAACATTGAAAGATAAGACAGTTGAGAGGGTCTGAAAGAATAGTTCTCTAAATGGTGTTTTGCAAATGATTTTAAAAAAGATTGGTGTTCTGTTTGTTGAACTGTAATTTATGTGTGATTATTCATAAGATTATTCAACAGATATGATACATACCCACACATGTATTTTTGTGGTTGCTGAAAATATACCTCCTAGAATTATTTTTATGTAACTTTGAATACTTTTATTAATACTTTGCAGCAGATTAAATAAGACAAAAGAGATGACTTCTAGCCTCTCTTTAATCCCTCGCCATTGGAGCTTATATAATAGACTGATTGTTTGCAATATATCGATTCAATTTCGATTCATAGTGACCCCTCCTTGGGTTTTCGAGGTGGTATCACTATGAAGTAGATCGCCCAACCTTCCTTCCAAGGAATGGCTGGTGGGTTTGACCCACCAGCCTTCTGGTTAGCAATCAAATACCTTAGGCACTACGCCACCAGAGTTCCTATGTAAAGTATACAATTGGAAAACATAAAAACGTAGTAGTTTTTAATGTCAGACATTGGCCTTTCAAATATAATTACTCCCATTACACTGGTGACAAATGTTCTTGTATTATTTTATTATGTTTTTAACAGATTTTTTTTTAAGATTTTATAGTTTCAATATTTAATATTAAGGATTTTATTGATTTTTATGTTTTTGACAAAGGAGAAGAGAAAACCCTCTAAGTTAGAGTCATTTTACTTTCTTAAATATTATTATTCAAAAAGTTTAATTTTGTCAAATGTCCTTTCAGCGTCTAAGGAGATAATCTTACTAGTTTTCTGTGTAGCTTTTAATGTGGTGAATTAGTTTGAGATTTTATAATATTGAAACCATCTTTGCATTCTTGAATGAATAACCTTGAATGAATAACCTTTACTTTAAATATGCTTTTAGATTGTTGATATTTTAATTAAGATTTTTATAATACATATTCATAAGTACAATTAATTGTTAGTACTTTTCTTTTCATGCACCCTTGTCAGGTTTAAGAGCCATAAATTTTCCTTCTTTTTTTATGCTCTGGAATATTTTAAGTAGTAGTGAGGTTATCTGACCTTTAAATGTTTGATAGAATTACCTGTGAAAATACCGAGTCTTTAGTTTCTAATGACAGTCACACATCCTTTTAGAGGATCTTCACTGCTGCTTATTAGTGATAAGGTCCTACGAGTTCAACTTAGAGCTAATAACATTGTTTATTTCTGTGTACTTTTTAAAGAATATCTTGTAATAGAAAACTAGAATAATGGAGTTGTGTATTATAAGTTACTACAGTCAGATAGCTTTGTTAAAAGAAAGGTTTACTTATTTTTTATGACTACCAGAATCTAAAAAACAAACTTGAAAATATATTTAGATATCATTAGCTAGGTTCATCAAAGTCTCCCGGAAGAGAGACAGGTGAAATTACCTTTGATTGTGAGGGTTTGTTATACAGAAATATATGGGCAAATGACATAAGCTAAAGAGGTAAAAGTGGGTTCCCACTGAGGGGAAAGAAATGGAGCAGAGTAGACAGTACAAATCTTGAAGGACGGTTTGATTCTTTGTTACATCTTGCTTGTTACATTTAGGTATTTTAGGTATTATCTGGTAATTTACCAACTGTGGAAGAATGAGGGTTGAATTTTCCTTTTCTCCTGTGTATCGGCCCCATTCTCTCCCTAATCTCCCGTTGCCTTCATTTTGGTTAGATCAGCTTTCAGTGCTTACGTTACTATAGCTATAAACTCACTGCTGTCAAGTCAATTTGACTCATAGCAACTCCTGTTTGGTATTCTGAGGCAGTATCTTTACGGAAGTAGATTGCCCAATCTTCCTTCCAAGGAGCGGCTGGTATGTTTGAACCACTAACCTTCTGGTTAGCAGTCAGATGCCTTAGGCACTACGCCACCAGAGCTCCCTACTATAGCTATAGACTATAGACCTACTTAAAAACTGAAGATTTAGTAAACAATGATTATTTTCCTTTCCTTGCTCCAGTCCAGGTTAGTTCTCCTCCATGCCCAGAGAGCTCTCATCACAGAATTTCCTTCATTCTTACCTTTGCCTCTCAACAGCATAGGATCTCCTGTTTCCTCTACCTCGTATCTTTCTTGTTTTGTTTTTTTCTTTTTTGATGGATCACATCTCCAATAACTTTCTGAGAAAAGGTGCATTTTTGAGACTGTACATGTCTAGAGATGCTTTTTTTTTTTTTTTCATCTAAATTATTTTAAGGTTTGGCTGAATTTGGATTCTAAGTTGAAAGTTATGCAACATTCCATTACTTTAGTTTCCAATCCTACATTCCATCACCTTAGTGTTCAATACTGGATTTGAGAAATCTGAAAGCCCTTCTGATTTCTAAACTCTTTTGTCACTTTTTATTTTTCCTTACGTCGAGCCTTGTGAGGATTTGTTAGCTCCAGGCTTCCGTGTTGTCCCTCTTGATCTGTCTGCTCATGGTTCATTAGCCTCAGATGTAGTCTGGTTCTTAAGAACCCAGAACTCTTTTCTGCACCTCACAGGTTAGAAGGTAAAGAAGATAAAAATTTCCCATAAAGTATAGCAAAAAGGTAAAAACATGGAAAATAGGAGGAAAAAAAAGATAAAGGCATAGTCTAGGATTTCTAACAAAATAAAATGAGTTTGAGTAAATGAAATAAAGGTAAGAGAAAATAATCAATGAACAACTTAAAGGAAAATTTCTAAAACAAAGACACATGTTCCAGGTTGAAAAGGCCAATAAAGGACTCAACGACATAAACCCTTATCATGATATATCACTGTGAAATTTCAGAACATAGTAGGCAAGATATTTTTAGATGACCACAATGAAAATAATGGATTTAGCATTTATTGAGTATGTAACTTTGTGCCAACTACTATATTATAAACCCTTAAAACTTGTCTTTGAATTTCCCAGCAACCCTTTGAAACATATCTACATTTTAAAGAAAAACTAATATTGAGAGAAATTAGTTTGCCCCATTTCATATATCTAGTTAAGTATATGTAGCTTACAGATTACTAGAAAAAAAACAGAACAGCAAGAAAATACACTTCCTATAACCAAAAATGGCCACAGGGAGGTCTAATAAGCATAAAACTTGAACTTAAATATGTATGTGGAATAACTACCCTATTAGAAAAACAAAATCTCAGACTGAATTCCACATAACACTTTTTAAGGATATTCAATGTTATTAATAGAGCACAGCTGAAAACAACCTAAATGCCCCCCAATAGGAAAGAAAATGAATATTTAATGATGTGGGGAAAGTACAATATAATTTTAAAAATTTTTAATCAGGTATAAAACAATATCCCAATTTTGTTTTTAAAACATATTTTAAAAATTTGAAAAAAAATATATTCTTTAGTAAAAGTGGTCTCTGGGTGATGGAATGATTGGTGATGGAATGATTTTATCTCCTTTTATATTTACCAGACTTTCTGCAGTCAGTGTGTAATGCTTATAAAATTGGGGAAGCAGTGTTAAATTTGCCCTTCAGAGTAAGAAATTTTATTTAGTTACAAGGGAGAATTAAAATTTTCAGTAGTTCACAAGGAGAAAAAATGGAACTTTTTAACTCAGTATTTTTACTTGTATGTTGTTCAGAGATGAATAACTTATTTCTCAAAATTTCTTACAAGTCTAAGCGCTGATAATTATTACTTTCTTATTTCTTCTCTGAACCAGAGTTATATACACACCTGGCCACACTGATGACCACATGGCTCTTCTTTTAGAAGAGGAAAATGCTATCTTCTCTGGAGATTGCATTCTAGGGGAAGGAACAACTATATTTGAAGACCTTTATGATTATATGAACTCCCTAAAAGAGTTACTAAAAATCAAAGCTAATGTTATATATCCAGGTGGGTAACTTTTAAAATCTAACAAACGATTTGTGTCAAATGATGAGGAGGGTTAATTTTGGGGTATGTGTTATGGTTTTTTTTTTCCATTGGAGAGACAGATACAAACTGCTTCTCTAAAGTGTACCCCTGTCTTGTCTAGCCATGCATTCGGACTTAAAGAGAAGACACATTATATTAAAAACTTTGCATTACAAAGTTTTGTTGTTTTGGGTTTTTTTTAATAACTACACAGCTATTATACTCTCAAAACTACTAAACAAAGGAAATAATCTTTTTTTTTTTTTTTTAATTTTGATTTGGGTGAAAGTTTACAGAGCAAATTCATTTCCCATACACTTTGTCTCATGACATTGACTACAATTTGCCACAATGCAACAGCTTCCCTCTCACTTCCTCCTGATAGTTATCTCTTCCCAGTGTCCATCCTTCCATGTACTCGGCCCTCTGAGCTGTCTTTCTGCATACACAGCCCTTCTATTCTCCCATGATTTGAACAAAGGAAATAAGAGTGGAACAAGAAATTTTTTAAATAAGCCGTTTTCGGTTTGTTCATTTGATTTTTGTACCACATTTTGGCTTTGTAACCTTGGGTAACATTTGACCTCTGAGCTTTAGTTTCTTCATTCATGCTGTTGAAATATCAGTAGCTGCCATATCAACTATAGAATGGTGTATTTATTTCCATTCTCCAGAAAAAGAAACGTGTTCTTAATATCTCAGATATGAATACACTGCCCTGCAATGAGTCTCCCAGTCATCCTAAATTCTGTGAAATGCATGGGACCCAATAAGGAGTTGGAAGGAAAGAGGGACTGGGTTACCTAATTTTCTAAGTTTTACTTTACTCCTAATCAAACTGCCATGGAAAGATCTGTAAATACAGTATTTTCATTGCCCTCACATTTTCTCATGAATTCCTACTGCTAAGGAGATAGGAAACAAACAGTGGAGCTCGGCATTCATATTAATATTGTCTCATGCAAAGAATGGAAATGATCGCTGGTTTTAAAGAAAAGAGTGGATGTTCATTGCTCTCACATTCAAGCTAGGCTAATGAGAGGCTGCTTAGTAGATAAAAGGTCCTTAGAGTTCTTGCTTTATTGAAATCCAGTGGATGGCTTATTAGCACAGCAGGAGTTTATATGTAACTTACGCTCTGTAGCCATATCTCCAGTATAGTAAAGCCTGCTACGTGTAAAGTACTGTTCAGGATACTTGCAGCTACCTCCTGACAAAAATTCTGTGAAGCAGGTAGTGGTGTCCTTATTGTACAGTTCAAGAAACAAGCTAAGAGAGATTTAGGGACTTAAAGTCACATTGCCAGTTAGTGATACTCTGTATTCTAACCAAAGCCCATGCATGCCTGTTCTGGTGGCCTAGAGCCACTCTGAGAGAAATATACCACACATGGGATGGACTTAACAAACAGAAGTTTATTATCTTACAGTTTGGAGGCTTTAAGTCCATGTTCAAAGTGCCAGGCTCTAGGGGCTGGGTGAAAGCCCCTCAGCCTTAGGCTTCAGCTCTGCCTTCAGCTCCTGGCCCACAAAAGCTAGAGGCTTTTCTTCACTCAGACAGCTGCTGGTTGCTGAGACTGACAAGCCCAGGGCTGACAAGTAAAAGAACACAGTCCCGATGTTACCAAACCACACAGCAGGCCATTAATTTAAGTCTATTGTAAGTCCCAAGGTCAGCAGAGTATGGCAGGCTGCTGAACAATGACATAGCTATATGCTGGGTTCAAACGTGCCATAAACTAGAGACCATTCTTCAAGGCTTCTCCTTATATACAGGAAGCAGACCACATTCCCAAGGCAGCTACTCAGCTGCTCACAATAGATTCCACCATGGAGTTGATTACCAGTCTCATCATGGGGACTGCTACCACCAGATGCCCAGCCTCTCAACCAGGCCCAGCTAAGTTGACACACAAACTGAATTACCACAATGCCCTTTCCATGACAGTAGGTTTGCCTGCTTCTGGATATTTTATTGTCAGATATTTTAAACATTCTTTCTGCAGACTTGTGTCATATATTAATTTATACCATCTCAAAAAGTAACTATATTTCAGTAATTAGTTTATCTGGGTTGTCAGATTTTCTGAATTGCTAACCTATACATAGATTCTTCAGTATTACAATTCTGCGGGTGAATTTCTAATAGAATTTTTATACTTGCGTGAGGCTGCTTTTTATCTTCCCCTTTTTAAATCTTATATAAATAAGGTTAGCATTGTGATTTAAAGCATAGATTGTAGAGTCAGAGTCCCAGCTCCACTCCTTTACTGCTTTGTGACCATGGACAGGTTATTTACCCTCCTTGTGCCTCAGTTTCTTATGTTAAAAAAGGGATAACAATAGGACCTACCTGATAAGGATTGTTGTTAGAATAATATATATTAAATAATATATATTTAGAGTGGTACCTACCACATATAAGCATTATATAAATTTACTTAAAGTTATAATTGCTATCTTTATTGCTAGTTGTGATTTTTTATATTATTTTTTTTTATATTTTTTTAAGTAGACAGTAACATTTTATATAAATTTCAGTTCGTGCACTTTGCTTTTTTTTTGCCATTATACGTAAATTTTAATCTCTTATACTGTGTATCTTTCTAATAATTCATATTTGTGGTATATTTAGTATGCTTTTTGAAAACCTCTTAACCATTTTTTAATGTCTATTAATTTTTTTTTAATTTTTATTGTGATTTGGTTGAAAATTTACAGAGCAAATTCATCTTCCATGCAGCAGTTCCCATACACTTTGTCTGATATCATTGCTTGCAATTTCCCACAATGCAACAGCTCTCTTCCCACTTCCTCCCCATAGTTACCTCTTCCCTGTGTCCTTCCCTCCCATGCACTCCTGCCCACCCCCCCCACCCCGGGCTGTCTCCCTGTACAGCCCTTCTATACTCCCATGATTGATCTCTCCAAGGAGTGTATCTACCTAATGTAAATGTTCACCTCATATGCTTGTCTTTTGTTTGGCTGGAAGCCGCAGGAACAGGCTCAGTTCCAGACCTGAAGGGTAGCTAGGGGCCATAGTCTGAGGGATTCCACCAAGCTCTATCAGACCAACAAACCTGGTCCCTTTTTTTTATGATTTTGAGTTTTGTTCCACATCATACAAACTGTTTTTAAAGAGAATAAATTAACTTCATTTGTACTTAATATGTTAAATCTGGTTGAAGTAATTTTTATAATTATTTTAATTCAGGACATGGCCCAGTAATCCATGATGCTGAAGCTAAAATTTTACAATACATTGCTCACAGAACCATCCGAGAACAGCAAATTTTGACATTATTTCATGAGAACTTTGAAAAGTCATTTACTGTCATGGAGTTGGTAAAAATTATTTACAAGGTAATTTTTGTTTATCTTATTTGCATTTAACCACAATTTTACTAGAATAATCTTTTGGTAAGCTTACCATATCCCAGAACAAAATAAGTCTATGTTAATTTTTTAAAGAATGCCACTTCTTTAGATTTGAGACCAGCAATCTCAACTTTCTAGAACATAGAAATTAAACAAATAAAAACCAGTCCTAAAGAACAAAAATAGCCATCCTGAGCCAGTCACTAAACCTTCTGTACTTTATTCTGGCTCAGAGATTGTTGTCAACAGCCTTATGATTAAGTTTTGTAATGATTTATATATTCTTCTAGGCATCTTGATGATCTGGTTTCTTAGCCTGCAGCAAATGAGAAGGGGTGATCTGCTAGAGACAGATACTGGGATAATAGCAGTGAGAAGAAGTAGTGATGCCTAACAGCAGAAAAAATGCCTATCAAAGAACCTGAGTAGAGTGACTGGGAAAGAGTCCCACACCTCAGTGACCTGAGCACAACGTCACTCTCTACCAGTACTATGTGACAATTGGTTAGTATAGTTCAGTGTTTCAGCAAATGTTTATTGGATGTCCACTGTGTAGGCAGTATTTCTTAGAGGTTAAGAATGTAGGATTCGGAGGAAGACTATCTCTGGGTTTAAGAGTCCCTGGGTGGTGCAAAACAGTTAAGTGGCTCAACTGCTAACTGAAAGTTGGTGATTTGAACCCACCCAGAGGTACTGCAGAAAATAAGTCTGGCTATCTACTTCAGGAGCTCTGGTAGCATAGTAGCTAAGGCACTTGACTGCTAACCAGAAGGTTGGCAGTTCAAACCCACCACCAGCTACTCCTCAGAAGAAAGGTTGGGCAATCTACTTCCATAGTAATACTGCCTCGGAAACCCAAGGAGGGGTTGCTATGAGTCGGAGATGACTCGGTGGCACATGACAACAACAAAATCTACTTCCAAAACATCACAGCCTTGAAAACCCTATGGAGCAGTTCTGCTCTGTACGAATGGGGTCGCTATGCATCAGAATCAACTGACAGATAACAACACCACCTGGGTTTAAACCTTTCCACTCCCGCTTACTATGTGTCAAGTTATTTAACTTCTGTAAACCCGTTTCATTGTCTAGAGAATGAGGTTGGTAACGTTATTGATAAGTTTTTTGTAAGAACTAAGAAACAATTCTTGTTAAGTACTTAATAAAATGCCAGGCAAATAGTAAATATCCAATAAATATTTGTTATTAATATTATTATTCGCACCACCATCACCACTATTGGTACCTGTGCTAGGCTCTAGCAATACAAAAATAAATAAAGTTCCCTGTCCCCTTCATATGTCTTCCTCTGTCTATGGGAGAGACAGTTGAATAAGCAAATAACATTTACAGAGTTGTACAACTACTACCACAGTCAATTTTAGGACATTTTTATCACCCTGTAAGAAACCCATACCCTTCAGCAGTCACTCCCCATTTCCTTCCAGCTTACTATCCCACCTCAATCCTAGGCAACCAGCTACTTTCTTTATAAATTTGCCCATTCTGTGCAGGTCGTATAAATTTTAAAAAATAAACCTCACTGCCATCAAGTCAATTCTAACTCGTACTGACCCCCATTGGATTTGCAAGGCTACAGATCTTTACGGAAGCAAACTGCCTAATCTTTCGTCCACAGAGGGGCTGGTGATCTTTTTGTTAGCAGCCACATGCCTGAACCACTGCACCACCAGAGTTTCTTTGTCATATAAATAGAATTATATAATTCATATTCTCTTGTGACTGGCTTCCTTCACTTAGCATGAAGTTTTTGTGGTTCATCCATGTTGTAGCATGTATCAGAATGCAATCCCTTTTATGCCCTAATAATATTTCTTTTTTTGGATAAACTATGTGTCATTTGTCCATTCATCAATTGTTGGACATTTGGCTGCTTTCCACTTTTGGCTATTATGAATAATGCGGCTATGAACATTCATGTACAAGTTTTTATGTGGACATAAGCTTTCATTCCTCTTGGGCATGTTACCTAGAGTGGAATTGCTAAGTTATATGGTAGCATAGTGCCTAAGGCATTTGATTGCTAAAGCAGAAGGTTGGTGGTTCAAAGCTACAGCCACTCCATGGAAGGATGATAGGGCAATCTACTTCCATCAAGATTTACTGCCTCAGAAACCCAACAAGGGTCATTATGAGTCAGAATCAACTCAGTGGCAGTGAGTTAGTTTGCTTTGGTTTTTTTTACTGGTAACTCTGTTTACCTTTTAAGGAACTAATACGCTGTTTTCAATAGCAACTGCACTATTTTACAAGCACTTGACTGCTAACCAAAAGGCTGGCAGTTCAGACCCACCAGCCACTTCTCAGAAGGAAGGTTGAATAATCTACTTCTGTAGTGATACTGCCTCAGAAACTCAAGGAGGGATCACTATGAGGCGGGTCTAACTCTACGGCACATAATAACAACAACAACAACAACCAGCAGTGTATGAAGATCTAATTTCTCAAGTTATATTAAATTTTAATTCATTTAAATAGCCACATGTGGCTAATGGTTACTGTATTGGGCAATGCGATTTTTGAGAGTTAAAGTGCTTCTCTAGCTAGCTACTTAGCATAACAATGAATGAGTTGTATATCCTAAGAGCAATACATTATTTCTTGAGAGTGATTCAGATACTAAAGATACTCAATGATGAAATACTTAATATAATAGTTAATTGATGTTCTAATGAGTATTAAATCACCTCTCCCAAACATTCTACTTAACTATTGTTGTTGTTAGGTACCGTTGCAGTGTAGTAAATTACTTAGTATGGCTTTTCTACCCATAAGTCATTGTAAACTCAGTGGTGGAATGAGCAACTGAGGAGCTCCTGATTGTAAATGTTATCCACCTGGGTTATTTCGGATGGGAGTGGCACAATACAATGTTATGGGAGGCTCTCTCTAAGGTGCTTAGAATTCTGATGCTATGATTGGCTGGTTTGGCCACTTGCCAAACTCAAAAGGAGGCCTCCTAGAGGCAGAACTCTCTCTGACTGCTGGTTGAGGAAGATGTGCTACTGAAAGAGACACGCACTACTGAAAGAGACACGTGCTGCTGGGAAAGAGACACAAGAAACACACATTGCTGAGTAAGACACCGAGGGACATGCACTGCTGGGGGAGAGACTGTGAGAGACTTGGCTGAGGGACAGTGGGCTGGGAGAGAGACTGAGCGTTTTTCCTGAACTTGAATTGTAGCCTGGTGCTTCCCTAATAAGCCCCGTAATCTGTGAGCTCTGCGTGGCCACTGCAGCGAATTATTGAACCCAGGAGAGAGGTGGTGGTGTTTTGGGAGGAACAGGTGGTGAAAGGGCTGGAGGGAGGCAGCATGTCTGGCCTTGCAGTAATAGGCCTTGGGCTATTAATGGTGATTCTGTCTTCCTCTTGTGGGATTAGAGGAGGTCAGAACATGTGGCCTCCTTGCCATTTTTGCAACTGTTCTGGTTACCTAGTGCTGCTCTGACAAGAATATACCACAAATGGGATGGCTTGAACAAACAGAAGTTTATTCTCTTAGTTTGGAGGTTTTAAGTCCAAGTTCAAAGTGCCAGGCTCTAGGGGCTGGGTGAAAGCCCCTCAACCTTGGGTCCAGCTCTGCCTCCTGCTCCCGGCCCACTGGAGCTAGAGGTGTTTCTTCACTTAGACAGCTGCTGGCTGCTGAGGCTGAGAAGCCCAAGGTTGACAAGTAAAAAGGCACAGTCCCAATGTTACCAAACCACACAGCAGGTCCAAGGTCGGCAGAGCATGGCAGGCTGCTGAACAATAACACAGCTACATGCAGAGACCAAGCGTGCTGTATGCTAGAGACTATCCCCAAGGCTTCTCCTTCTATACAAGAAGCAGAGACCACATCCCAAAGGCAGCTACTCAGCTGCTTGGGGTAGAGCCCACCATGAACTTAATTACCAGTCTCATCATGGGAAATAACTACCACCAGCTGCCCAGCCACTCATCCAGGCCCAGCCAAGTTGACACACAAACTGAACTACCACAGGTACTGTCAAGTAGGTTCTGACTCATAACAACCCCATGTATAACAGAACAAAATACTGTCCAATCCTGCACCATCCTCACAATTCTTGCTATGCTTCATTCCATTGTGTCTATCCATCTCATTGAGGATCTTCCTTTTATTCCACTGATCATCTACTTTACAAAGCATGAAATCTTTCTCTGGGAAATACTCCTTCCTGATAACATTACCAGAGTAACAGAGACAGAATCTTACCATCCTTGTTTGGAGGTCCATGGTATATTCAGTATTCTTTGCCAACACCATAATTCAAATACGTAAGTTCTTCTTCTGTCCTCCTTATTCACTATCCAGCTTTCACACATATTTGTTGTTGCTGTTAGGTGCTGTGGAGTTAGTTCTGACTCACAGCAATCCTATGTACCACAGAACAAAACACTGCCCAGTCCTGCACTGTCCTCGCAGCCATTGCTGTGCTTGAGCTCACTGTTGCAACCACTGTGTCAGTCCATCTCAAAAAAGGAGAAGCCTTTTTTACTGCCCTTCTTCTTTGCCAAGCATGGTATCTTTCTCCAGAGATTAGTCCACCCTGATAACATGACAAAGTACAAGAGGTGAAGTCTCACCATCTTGCTTCTAAGTAGCATTCTGGCTGTATTTCTTCCAAGGCAGTTATTTGTTCTTTTGGTAGTCCCTGATATGTTCAGTATTCCCCAACATCATAATTTTGCATTCCTCCTTACCCATTATCTAGCATTCACATGCATATGAGGCTACTGAAAATACCATGGCTTAGATCGCCTTAGTTTTCAAAATGACCTCTTTGCTCTTTGACCCTTTAAAGAGGTCTTTTGCAACACATTTGCCCAATGCAATACATCCTTTGATTTCTTGACCACTGCTGCTTCCATGGGCATTGATATTGGATCCATGTAAAATGAAATCCTTGACAACTTCACTATTTTCTCTAGCATGATGTTGCTTATTGGTCTAGGTTTTTTGT